TTAACAGACCTTCAGTGGTAGCATTTTAGTGACTGTGACTTGCCTTTTGACCGTATAATCAAGGAACAAGTCATTACCAATTTGCTTCAGTAACTGAAAGAGACAGATCTTTATTGTTTAATGTAATCTTGTTTTGAAGTTGTTTCCTGTCATTTAATGGCATGTATTCTAATAAATCTCACGGTTTTTGATTTTGCTCGTGTTTCACGTATGACATCATTATCTGAGTTTTATGTATTTATCTAAGCATTCATCATTTTTCCCCCATTCTTCGATTTTGTAAGTGTTTTACTTTAACTTGTGTTTGGCTATAACTTGTGCTTTTGCCTAACTTGGGTCTAGAAATATCTCACGTTACAATCTTGAAGCTTTTGTGCCAGAAAATACATAATCCATCTTTCGTGGAGGACATTCTAAGGGAAATTGACTTGTGTGTTTGCAATTTAATTTTTTTATTTAGTTATTTATTCATTTTGCTCTTATCGAAGAAAAATCGACAGTAAAATTATTGCTTAATTCATGTTCTATAGAAATAAATATCTATTAATCTAATTAAAATCTTTAAAATAGCTTAGGCCAAATTTTTCATACATTTCTTTTTTGGTGTTTCAAGTTTGTAAAAAATTAATTCGGTTTAATAACAATAAGTTACAAATTTAAGAACATTATTAAGGCAATTTTCGAATTTGCATACGTTTCAACTACTTTATTTCTGAACCTTCCTTAAAAGTATAATTTAAGATTTTATTCACCAGGATTATTGTAACAAGCTAAATATTTCAGATAAAGGTTTTGCAGCACTTTCATCATATGCATATTTAAGTTTTAAATTATAAGCTGCTTCTTTTAAAATACTATTACAAATTTCGTGCATATGTAAATATAATTTTAGAGAAATTGTAGTATTTTCGGCATAATATAACGTTAAATGCTTGAAAGAGACCAACTGCTACCAGAAAAATAAGATTACAGCGGAGTAGTCTACTCAACATTGAGTAAATGGTTATCTTGTAGAGATATTAGGTATTTTTTGGAAGCAGGTATCATGACAAATTTGCAACGCATTCACCGACAATTGAACTACGGACATCTGGAATACGTGCAGACCACCATACCACGAAGGCATGCCAAGAAGGTGGGAGAAATACCTTATATACTTCCCCTTTTAAAAGCCGACTGTGGTTTCCAGGGGACCCAATCGAAAATCCTTGGTGTGGAGAGTCATCATTCACCAGCCTTTTAGTTCGGGCAAAGATGAAAAATATGCAACGTCTTCGCCGGGAATCGAACCACGGACCTCTGGAATACGCGCCCAGCGTGCAGACCACCACACCACGAAGGCATGTCACGCCAATTTAAGCAAGAATAAATTTGCTTAAATTGGCGAGATAGCACCAAGCCGGCGATGGTCTTGGCGATCAATTTTTGGTGCCAAATTTAGCGAAAAATAGCCAATCGCGTCGACCATTTGGTCTAGTCCCTGCATAACTGTATTTGGTATTGGAAGCTGATAACTCTAATTCATCCCTATATTTAACCGCAACTGTATCCGTCCCCTATATGTAACTTTAACCAAATATGCTTAATTTTCAAGACATGGAATTTACTAGAGATTTCTCGTCGGGCCGGGGGGGATGTATAAGACCGGAGATAGCCTCCAGAGTTAGATCCTTCTGAGAGCTTCGCTCTTTGCATTGCATTTTCATTAACGTTCTTAGTAGTTTGAAATGTAACTATTGTTTGGTCTCTGTGATACTTGAGAACAGCTGTGGGAGTATTTTTGTGGAAAGTTCCAGAACTGTAAAGTGTTTCTTTTGGTAAAAATAAAGTATCTATTCCTTTCATCGTCCCGCATTAATTGTGGCTATTCGATGAATAAAAATAAATAAAATCAAATGTTCAATTCTGAGAAAATTTAAATATAGCAGGGCAAAAGTCCAAACCATACAGCTCCTTTAATGGCAAATGTTGTAGTGGAAAATGGAACAAAACAACTTAGTACGAAACATGGAGCAAGAAGATGCCAATATGACATATTTCATTTTCGGACATCCTTGTTTAATCTGCTGATATCATTCCAGTCGAAGTCTGAACTTTAGATCTGAAACAACCACTACTCTATTTTTAGTTTAGTTCGTGGAATTTCGAAAGCGTGAAGAAATATGGTGAAATGCAACTAATCTAAACACAAATAGGACTTCTTACAGTTCAGAATAAGGAGAGACTGTTGATGGGAGACGGAGACAGGATCATTCTACCAAGAAATTAGGTGGTATTGTATCACGTCACCGCATACTTTGCATTAGAAGATATTGTAGCTGTTGTGGGTCAGGACATTATTACATAACTTGCATAATTATTACATTATTTCAGATGCTCAAATTACTTTACAGCAGAACATACACTACAATAATACATATTAAAAATAAATTTTACAGACTTCCCAGAAATATACAAACGTATACTGCCCAAAATCCAAATACAGTACTAAGTACAGATAATTAAACTTCTAGAAAAAAGTTGAATGAATATTAAAATCTTACTCTAAGCACTGCTCCTTACTAACCCCTCAAAAATATTTAAAAAAAAATTATGTAAAGATGCACAGGTTAGTTCCAAATTTTGCAAGTTTGTCGGTAATCTGGACGATCCTTACCATCAGATGACGCTGTCTTACCATAAACTTGATGAAAACTGGGAATTTTAAGGTGGACGTTCTCTCGTACGTGGGCAGATAGTAAGATAAAGGTCTGGGGTACGAATTTCTCCACGGACACAGAGATCGGTGTTGCCGACACCGTTTCTATTGAAATTTTCGGGGACGGGATCATGTCTTGTAACAAATCTTGTTAATTGCAGAGGAATGATGTTCTGTTTATCGTCTACTTGGGTGATGTAGTGGTATGTGCAGGGCCTTGTTCACATTCATTCCACTTTGCTATTTGATTTGTGCCTTGCGTTTCAGTTGCTTCTTCAAGTATGAACGTGGCCAAAGTGCTAGTTGGATATAATGAATACTTCCTGGTGTTGTTTCCTTGGCCAATTTATCAGCAATTTCGTTTCAACTCACCCCAGCATGCGCATTTATCCAGGAGAACGTAATATTATGGTGTTGATGCCTCCACAAGTATCTCTAGGATTTGCGTAACTATAGCTATATATGGGGATGGCTCTGGAAATAGCTACTGTTTCTGTCTGAAACATGGTACTATTATCGCTTTGTCGCTGCTTCCACAGATGTAAGGTTTCTTATTCTATGTTGAAGAACTAGTGAGCTGCCAACTTTGTCGTCCATACGTAAGCCATCCGTGTTTATATCCGGAATGCTGGTTGCTGGGGATGTTATGACGGTGCAGATGCATGTTTTCACCTTGCCCTTTTAGAGCTCGGTGGACATGTAGGATCGTAGCTGACATTTCATATTTCTGTGGATAATGCCACTCTTCGCAGACGTTTGTGGGAATGCGATGATGAAATGATGATGATGCCTAAAGGTTCTACAAAAGATAAAAATCATGGGTGGCTATCTTAGAAAATTTCCACTATGTTAACTATGACCATGGATAAGTTAGTTTAAAACTTATTTTTGTAAGTCCATAAAATTAAAATTCCACCTATTCCAAGCAACTCGAATTTATTATAATTAATTTTAATTACAGCAATGTTTGATCATGTTTCTTATATATCCGTTTCTTACATTTCTTATAATAGTAAAATAAAGCATACAATTAAGTTCCCACTCAATGCTTTGGATTTCAGCTGCTGGCAACCAAAAAGAGAAGGATCCAGCCCACCAGTAGCCGTGTGGTTAATACCACTGAATGCTTGGAGTACGAGCAGGGTTTGATCCAGGCCAATGGTCTGCCTGTATGGTTAGTTTCCGTATTTACTCCCATGTTTAACGTGAATACGTGCAAGTTTCTCTTAGAGAGTTCTGTCCGAAGGCATTCATCAATCTAGGTAGATAGCTCTCGTGGGCTTTGCAATACTTAAATAAAGTAACATATCAGGAAAAAAAACTTACGGAAAATTAATTAAGTTGATGCACAAATTGTCACAAAAATATAGATGCCGATCTAAAGTGCGTATTTGTTAACAGTTTAGCGTTGAAAATATAACTCAAACAAGAGTTTCTCTGAATATTTAAAAAATACCAACGCCTTCTTTCTCAGATTTTCTATTTACTTCTTTATTTTACTGTACACTTCTCCAAGGAAATCTGTGAATATTTTTGAAAAACTGCGATACAGCTTCATCATATGGATTCAACTGCTGATCGAATTTCGGATCCAGAAATGCAAACTTCCAAGTTTTTAATCTGACAAGAATATGTTCTTTGCTCGTAGTATGACTAATGCTGAAATTTTATTTTTCAAGTATATTAATTCCATCCCATGTTTTTGCCTTAGCTCGTCTTAATGAGCAATGATAGAAGGCATAGTTTTTTTAGGATTCAGAATTCCCCAGCAGAAGTGCCGTTTTGGGGACATTATACATTTACTCAGGTTACGATGTCGAGTTTGATAATTGTCTTTGAAAGTAATCATTTTTCTTGTTTTTGTAATCATTCTTTTATTATACTCATTTTTCCTGTTTCATTTGCAAAGGTGCAGAATAATTTTATGTACCACAAGGTGTAGGAATCACCACAAATGTTTCAATCATATTCCGTAAGCTGAATGTTTTATAAGAAGACTTTAAAAGTTTCATTAAATGGCGAAGAACTTTTGAAATGGTTACAGATAGGAATTTATTTCCATTATCAAGAATTGCAGATTTTAGAAATTGGAATACCAGAATTGGAAAATAAAATTCAGACTCACAAATCAAAGTAAAAGCATTTCTCGCAATTTGCATTTCAATGCACCTTTACTTATGATTAAAACTTCAGCATACTCATAGATTTTTAAGAGGCATTTAACTATTACAGCCGTCATGTGGGTGGTAGCCAAATTCTGAGAACACATCTGAAACCAGCATACACGAATACATAGAAACAATTTTGCTTATTTTGCAATAAAAGTCTTTGTTGATAAGAATTATGGTAAAATAGAAATACATAGTGAAGATGACGACATGCATTGAACAAATAAACAAACAAAAAAATTGCAGCTGAAATTAACAGTATATTGGATTATCAAGTTCATGGATTTGGAATCTTAAAATTGTAAAAATTATTTAAAACAATTAACGCAGTCCTAAATATACTTAAAATACATGTTTTAATAAAATTTTCACAATGCATTTCACAGATGCTCATAAAATAAAAACAAACGGCAAAAATATTCAAAACAAAAGTCTTCCCTTTGATTATTTTTCTCATCCAGTTTTCAAATGTTCATACATTCTGTCTTTATAATTCAAAATAGCATCTCTAGCACCATCCCATTTATGTGGTCCATTGAGTCTAAATTGATATGGTAAGCAAGGGCCAAAGAAGCAAGCTTTAAATAATTTTGGATCTTTTACAAATAATGCTGCCATATGAGGTTTTGCTCCAAACATTTCCGCAATTTCATCTATATATGGTAACCATGCAACCTCCACTGAATGTCGGGGTGATTGTACAAAATTTCTAACTCTAAAACCTTCTGTTTTCTTCACATCTTGTAGCATTGTCTCTGTCGAAGGTAGGCGACATTTTCCTGCCATTAAGGCCACAAACCACCTCGTCTGCATTTCAAATATTGGGAAAAGGGATCCAGACGGTTGAATCAAGCCTATGACACCTGAAAATACATGAAAATATTCAAAATACTGTCAGTTAGATGTTAGAGATAACAATTAATATCAAGTTACATGATTACAAAATAAATGGAGAAACAAATGCGATCAAAATATACTATGACCTGCAGTAATAAAAACCAAATTTGTAGTTAAATATTAGTCTCAAAGACAGATAATTAAAGCGAACCCCATGCGCTGTACCTTCGGAAAACTATTTGCCCGTGGCACAGAAAATAAAGCGCATTCTTTCAGAAAATGCTCATCTACATACTAAGACGCTAAGTCAATTTAAAAATTGATTTCATATATTTATGCTTCAGCGTAGAGTTAAAATGAATATTATTTACAGTAGTAGAAGAGAAACAACTACAAAAATAGTAAAGTAGCAGTAAGATTTATAACGTATTTCCTTCGAAAGTTTGAAACAATTTGCTTTTACAACCATTATAGATAAAATGATTTATTACGTTTTCAGTAACTCCATTTACTTGCTCACTATTCAGTTAGAGTTTTACTCACTGGGCCAAGCTAGCGAAAACCTGAATAAAATTTAAGAAGTTATAATGTTCCTCACTTCTTGTACCATGCTGAATGTAGAGAAACCTATTGAACTGTGGAGCGATTTATCGTTGAGTTCCCATGTATAACAAGGTCTAGAGAAGGGTTAAAATACCCTTTATTCCCTCAAAGAATGAATACAGTCGGACCCTTCCAGGGCGTACAGGGAAGCCTCCACTCGGGCTTCAAATCAAGATAAGAAAAATAAGAAACTAATCTAATACTAAACTGACTTACGTGAAGCTAGATACAATTACCTAACGTAGTTGGCCCTTCATTTAACTTATCCGGCGATTATCAACAGGCACGTACAATACGGCCGAGCGTAGTAGGTTTAATAACGAAGTAGCCTGACGGCAAACACGGGCCACTAAGGACTCCTAAGTTCTCTTACTGAAGTCAGCTGAACCTTCCTTAAATACTACTTCTACCTCATTTACATTCAACGCGATTCTAAACCTCATTCTGGTACGGAGTTGTAAGTGGGAACCAGAATTAAAAGGAAAGGGTTCCAAAATTAAAAATAACTGTTATAAAATTAAAATACACTTTAAAAGATTACTTCTGGGGCATTTAAAGAGTTCCGATTGAGTTTCTCTAAAATAATATTATTTCAGATCCCATATGAATCTTGCATAGAACTCGCAAATAAACGTTTAAGAACTTTGATTACAAATTTTAATTTATTGTACCGAAGGACTCAAATTCATGTTTAGCGTTTTAAACTATTAACACTCATCAAAGTAGTTTGAAGAATTTAGAACTCAAAGCTACTTCGCAAAATCACAGCAGCTGCATCTACAGTTGTTAAAAATAGGCTTAACATAAAGGAATGTTTTTTAATAGATAGCAGAGAGGAAGAAGTTACATGGAAAACAAAATTTCATTGTCTTTTCAACGTAAGGAAATTATTATAGCAAGAAAATAGTTATAATAAAAACAGAGAATAAAAAATGCATGAGAAAATTACAATAAATAACAGATATTAGTTAATAAATAGTGATTTCCCCATTCCCCTTGAATTAAAATTAAAATGCAGGATTCCACAATAAATGTTTTCACTGTATGTTTTAAAATTTGAAATACTGGACAATTCATTTAGATCATGCAGATCTTTATAAAAGGAAAACAAACTGCAGACTAGTTGTCAAAATAAAATTGTTGAGAAGTACACTATAACTGATACTTTTGGGAAGTTTTCAAATACGAATTTCATGCTCACCACACATTTTTAATTTCAGTGAAAGATTTTTTGTGAACAGAAGAACAAACCTAAAATTGTAAAAGGCTAGTGGTGTTTCAATTTGGAATACAAAAGATGGTAAAAATATTTAATAAGTCAATAAACAAAAAAGATAGCAAAATCATTTACTGTACGAGAAAATTTTAAAATTTCTCATTTCATTTACATATTTTATATATTAGAAACAATGTTATGTAAACATTATATATAAAAAATTGTACTTATATTAGAGAGTTTTATATCACGAAATTATTTCATTCAGATTAAGATTCCTATCCCAAATCAAGTTTTAATGTAAAAGCCAGACAATAAAGAAATAATTGAAAACAATTCATACTGTTTTTGAAATTTGACTAATGTGCAAGAAAAAGCAGACTAATAATTTTATTGAAAATGCAAGTCACTAGTCAAAGGATTTTACAGTAAATGAACATAGCATTGAAATAAAATCCACATTTTTAGAGGTACAAAGAGGAAATATATTAACATGTTTTTGTAAACAATTATTACAATTTGCTTGTACTCAATGAGCATGCCCTATAAAAATAAATCATGTAATTTCTATTTAATACGAATAAATTACATATGCAAGACATTTCAAAATCTGCCACAATTATATATTAGTCAAATTTGGAAATCAATACAACTGTTTTCGTAAATCCAAGCAATCCATCTGAATAAAATATATACAAAATATTAAATTTAAAATCTTTATAAAGATATATCTGGAGCAACTTAAAGATAAACATAGAGTAAATTTATTGCCCAGATAACAAACAAAATAATGATCTATTAGTTATGGATTGACATAATATTTCATTTAATGTCAAATAAAAAAAAACGTAACATATTCACAAACACAATATATGTAATACATTAGTAAAATGCATATGCTAATGCAATTTTGAAGATTATTTTATAATCATAAGCCTGAACCAGTTCGGCTTTAAGCCTTTTAAATCTACATCACATGCGATCGCAAAACTTCAGATCCACAGGAATAAATCTTCAGCCCTTCAGGTCTGAAATCCTTGAACCACTGCGTAAATGTCATCCGAATATATTTAAGTCATCTAACAAACAGAGCTATAGTGATCATTAGTAACAACTGCAAAGTATAGACAAGAATAACAAAAGGGTGTCCACAAGGTTCTTGCCCTATGCGCAGATTTGTAGACCATCACTTTCATTTATATGACCTCCTGCTAGTGGCCGGATCATACAAAGCTTCTTGCCTTTGCCGATGATGTAACATTTGTAATAGATGGGCACACATGATATATACTAGAAAAGAATAGCAATGAGACACTCCCCATACTCCATCATCTCTGCATCGCTCAAAAATAATAATCTCTCAGAACAGAAATCACATATTATCTTATTTTCAAATCCACACAAATCTCTATAAAGGCCATGTATAACAAATCAACAACACGAGAATCAAAACCATAAAGTAAGTAAAATTCCTGAGACTGAAAATCAATCAAAAGTTCTCTTTGATACCACACCTCATGGACATTGGGAAGAAAACTTATAATACTTAAGTAAAAACAAATGGCAATTTTTAAGGCCTACAGTCGAACATCCAAGACATCCTTCATAAAACTGTGATATAAAGGATAATTCTCAGTGGGAGACAACATAGGCTCACCCTACGACGGGGTGGAAGAAAAGACTTCTAGGTTACATTCAATACTCCTTCCTATTTAAAACCAGCAAAAGCATACAGGACTACCTCATCGTCAGCTCTCGGTGTACTAACAGGAATCCTACCGCTTCATGTGAAAGCAGAAGATGCAGGCATAGCCACGTCATTACTTCTCAAGAAAAACATACAGAAAAATGATCAAGACTTCAATCCCCTAGATTTCGAACGTCCTCGAAACCTAATTTGCAACTTAACTTGCAGCTCTTGCAAAAGTCAGAACAATAACAAAAAAAGAAATCTTCCGTGTTCTTAGATCAGTATATTCAGTAGTATATACACTGAATAGTAGTATACACAAAAGTGACAAAGATACAACGAGGATGTAGGATGCGCGTTCATAACAGAACAGGAAAATTTCAGAACAAGAAGTAACAAAATGAAAGGGACACCTGAGGAAGCAACAATAGCGTTGCTCAGGCTCAGCTTTCAGCCATAAAACATGCCATTATATTGGCCCATCAAAGATATTTAACAAACATTACCATCTACAGTGACAGCCAAGCGGGAATAAAGACTACTGACAATATAAAATCAAATTACCAATAGTACAACAAATCTGCGGTATAATATCACAGAACAATACGGCTAATATAAAAGTTGTAGAGTCATTAGGTTATTCTGAAGCGGAAGACATGAAAATGTGCAATGCCCTCGCTGGGACTCGAACCTGGACCTCTCGAATACGCGCCAAGTGTGCTAACATTTACACCACGAAGACATGTCGAAAGAAGGGAAAAAATACCTTATCCCTTTTAAAGGGAGACTGGGGATTAGGGGATTCAATCGCCAAATCCTGGTGGTGAAGAATCATTATCCACCCAAATTTTCTGGTTCGGGCGCCACTGTAGAAACATTAAGTTTTTTTCGATGCACAAGAGATGAAAAATGAGCAATGCCTTCGCCGGAACTCGAACCTAGGATCTCTTGAATACACTTCGACTGTGCTGACTATTACACTACGAATGCATGCTAAAAAGACGGCAGAAGTACCTTATATTTTAATTCAGTTTTTAAGCATGATATATATTCGTGATTATGTGTTAGTTCGGGCGCTACTGCAGAGTCATAAGGTTATTTTGAAGCGAGAGACATGAAAAATATGCAATGCCCTCTCCGGAGCTCGAACCTGGACCTCTCGAATACGCGTCGAGTGTGCTAACCTTTACACCACAGGGCATGCAGAAAGAAAAGAGAAAATACCTTATAAAATGAGTAAAAGCGCGTGTAGGACAGACCCAAAACGAAAGACAAATGCACTTGAAAGGATGCAACTGGAGATCCATCAGTGCTGTCATTAAATGTCCCATTCACTAAAACGACTGCGAAACAAAGGTTGAGAAAATTTGCATTAAAGAAATGGCAAGTTGAATGGGAAAATACAGAAGTCGGTAGAACGGTTTTCAACATTTTTAAAGTTTCACCTATGATGCAATCTCGTACAACTTCTTTATTAACATATGTTTATCCGGTCATGGCTCTTTCCCCACATACTA